CTATATATGAAACATTCTTAATAGAATCTACAATTAAGGTCTTCAAACCATGGGCACAGAGTGGGTTTTAAGTTTGTTTAGACTAGTGTCCTATGTATGATAGCCATTCTTTTTAAAAAAAGTATGCAGTGTATAATGCAACTGTTAGTAGTCCAGGAATAGTCCTAGGTACTGGGTGCTGGCATTTCTGTCTTCTTTGTTTTCCCTGTGCAGCCTCTTTACCAGTCTGTCTGTCTGGCTTACTATCTAATCAACATTTGGGTTTTCTTCCTCTGCCTTTTTCTTAAATGGTCAGTTATGCTTTCCTGCCATTTTATTCCTTGCTGTTGATTTTACCAGTATTAGGGTGATCTTAACTACTTCTGGTTTGGGGTTGGGTGAGGGGGAATTCCCATGGTTGCTATTGCCTTTCTCTTGAAATGGAGCCAGTTCAGCAGAACAAAGGACTTTGCTGAAGCCTGGAATGGTAATATTGGTTCCAGGTACATAGATGCATGAAAACCAGTTTAAACCTAATGACTTGAATTGATATCTGTCATTTTAATTGATAGGTTATGGTTAGCCGTGTAGTAATAGTCATTGTTATAAATAAAGGTACTTTTTGTAGTTAGTTTGCAAATTAAATGTACTTCAATTTGAGGACTATATGTAGGTGAATTGATTTTCTATTTCCGACAGTGTTGATTCATTCCATCTCATTATACTTCTCAAGTGAGTTGATGAACTGTGTAGCAAGACAGGTCATGCTGCAATTCCAGATTACCCTTACTACTTCCAACAAGGTGCTGCTTGGCTAGAAACCAACAAAACCTTTCAGTATGCAGTCATATCTATTACTGAATGGTGCTATATTTCAGAAGCTTATTGTTGTTGTTGTTGTTATTGTTGTTATTGTTATTATTATTATCAGAAGCTTATCATCATCATCATCATCATCATCATCATCATCATCATCATCATCAATTTATGTATGACCCATTCCCTAGATAGAGCTCAGGGTGCTGTACACTAGGTACTAAAATCACAAACACTAATCAACAATTTAAAATAATAAATAAACATTTCAGTAAAATTCATAATAGCAATACAATTAAATCAGATGGCGGTCCAATTCCAACATTGCTTCCAACTTGCAGTGGGGAGGGGAGAGAATGAAGACAGTCAGGTAGTCACTGTCCTCAACCAAACGCCTGGTGGAGCATCTCTGCCTTAAAGGCCCTGCAGAACTGTAACAAGTCTTGCAGGGCATGGATGTTACTTGGTAGAGAGTTCCACCAGGTTATCTAGAGTCAGGAGTTGGCACCCCAACCCTGAATCCTCCCTATCCAGCCACAGAACCTGTCTTAGCTGTATTCAGATAACTCTGTTTCAACCATCCCACCACGGCCTCCAGTCCCTCAGCCAAAACAGTTAGGGCGACATCCAGCTGGCCACCCATCAACAGATATAGCTGGGTGTCATCAGCATACGGGTGGCACCCTAGCCCAAAACTCTGCACCAGTTGGACAAGGTGGTGCATGCAGATGTTATACAGCATCAGGGAGAAGATTGTTTCCTGAGGGACCCCACACACCAAGGGGTGCCTAGCAGACACCCTCTCCCCTAGCACCACCCTCTGGCCCCAGCCTTGGAGAAATGAGGTAAACCACTTCAAGACTATCCTGTGGATTCCTATGTCGGCAAGACAGTGGTTCAAAAGATCGTGATTGACCATGTCAAACACTGCTGTAAGGTCAAGAAGCAACAGCACCACTGACCCACCTCAATCCAACTGCTTGCGGAGATCATCCATGAGGGTGACCAGTGCCATTTCTGTCCCATGGCTAGGGTGGAAACTGGACTGGAATGGGTCCAGAAAATTCTGGAGCTGTTCCACCACCATTCTCTCAATTGCCTTTCCCAGAAATGAAATATTAGAAACTGAGCAGTAATTGGATGGATCTAAAGGATCCAATGTTGGCTTCTTTAAGAATGCTACAATCACAGTTTCTTTTAATCCCTCTGGATAGACCCCTGAATGATAATGTCCACCAGAGGGCCCCATGTTCCCTCGCCACTGGCTTTTACCGGCCACAAGGGACACAGGTCCAAGAGGCATGTAGTCCACCTGACAGCACCTAGAATCCTGTCTACATCGGCCTGGGAGAGTTGGCTGAAGCTTTCAAACACAGAATCCAGAGATGGCCAAGGGGCCTCCAGTTCACATACTCTACCAATATTGGCTGGGAGATCGTGGTGGAGCAACAAGACTTTATCCACAAAAAAGCTCACAAAGGCCCCACAGCTGATGGCCGAATTCCTAACATTTTTGATTCTCTCGGTGAGAGAAGTTAAAGATCCAGTTACCCTAAACAATTGTGCTGGGTGTGAGCTAGTGGACATGATGGAGGTTTTAAATAAAATCTTTTTATCAGCCTTCACCACTACCTCATAGGATTTCATAAACATCCTTACAGCTTCGTCACGAGAACACCGCCAATCTCGCTCTAGCTGTCTTAAGTTCCTGTTTCAATCCCCTGAGTTCCATAGTATACCAGGGGGACAATTTAGATTGGGAATGTAGAGGAACACCTAGTTCCTCTGCTAGCACTATCACCTTGTACTATCACCATCACCTAGTACTATCTACTATCACCTAGTTCCTTACTATCACACCTTACCCCACAGGATATCAGCAAGCATGAAAGCAGAAGCACAGAGAAAAAATGTTTCATTTAAAGAATGTACTACAATTAATCTAATGATACAGTCTGTATTTGTTTAAAGGGAAGATGTATTTGATTTCTTTAAATGTGTTCATAAGAACATAAGAGAAGCCAATGTTGGATCAGGCCAATGGCCCATCTAGTCCAACACTGTCACACAGTGGCCAAAAATACTAGGTGCCATCAGGAGGTCCACCAGTGGGGCCAGGACACTAGAAGCCCTCCCACTGTTGCCCGCCCCCCAAGCACCAAGAATACAGAGCATCACTTGCCCCAGACTGAGAGTTCCTATCTATACTGTTCCTAAGCAGTCACCACACATTTTCACTTTCATCTGGATGTGGACCGAAGAGAATATTACGATTCATAGCACATTATCGTAATGTTATCCCCTGTTTGTTGAGATTTTGCTGTTTATTTCTGAGCTAGGTATTCTTTTATCCTATGAATCTCTGTCAGCAGTCCTGAGCTTTTAATCTTATTGCAGCTGAAGTGATAAATCCAGCATGTACTGTACTAAGAAGAATTTAATTGTCTTCTGTTTGGGTAGTGTAACCTGGGACTCTGCCCTTAATTTATTGGAATACTACTAATAAATTAAAGGTAGAGTAAAATTTATTTGAAGACTTGAATTGTTTAAAAGGAAGGGGGGAAAGATAAATAACTTCAGTAATAAAGCATTGTGATAACTTCCAAGCAGCCATAATTAAGCAGTCACATCATTTTTTCCCTTTTGCAGTATTAAAAAACCCGATCTGTAAGTTGTATAGATTCCCCTCTTCTGACAACAAATGGATGTGTGTTCGAGAACAGATGTCTGAGAGCACTCTTTCTTTTCATATTCCCAAGGAACTCATCAACCTACACATAAAGGAGGATATGAGAAGGTAAGGGAAACAGACTGAAAAGGTAAAAGTAAGCTATAAAGCGGCTGTTACAACATGGAAAATAGAAATTGGCTGAAATACCTGATAAGAATTCAGGGGTGCCACTAGTTCAATCTGCTACTCAGAAAGTAAAACTTCCACTTATATGTAAACACTGAGCCATAAATCTGATGATACTGAATAATTTTTACATTATAATATCAAACAGAAATGACATGGTATGAATTAGAATCATAAAGTTTAATGTTTGAAAGAATGTATTATTGCAGTCAGAACAGTTGCATAGCATTATCAAACAAACGCAGTTAATCACTTTTTTGAAATTTACATTTTTAACCCACATCCAGTTTGCTTTCCTTTCTGCAATTGTTTTAAATGGTCCTCTAGACTTGAAGCATATTATTCTTTTAGCTATTTCAAAACATAAGAATATCTCAATCTAGCAAAGATATAAAACCTCGAAGTTGTCACTGTTCTCCACTTGGGAAATCCCAATGCTGTTGATTTCAGTGAAGTTACACAAAGGTCAGATTTAGGCAGTTAACTTCTGTGATATTGGCCATTGTGAATAAATGTTGCAGAGCAGAGATTAAGATAATGGAGGTCTTTGGGCAGCTTAATTACATAGCTGCAGCCAGACAGATCATCAATGTTTATTTTGAATGATACTATCTCTGTTAGTAGTTGTAAACAGGATTTTCTGTTAATCAGTCAATTTGTCTGGCTACAGGCTGATGCTTAAACAGAATGAAATATATTAAGTAATTAAAAGAGATTCATCACAATATTAACTGTTAATGTGCTGCTTTTTTACCTAAGCTGAGAAACAGAATTATGACACTGTTACAAAGTAACACAAAATAAATAAAACTGTACAGTCCATGCTTAAATATGAAAAGGCTGATGTCCATTTTAAGTGATGTCTAGAAGCCAATTGAACAAATATACAATAAATTTCAGTTTGGTATAGTGCCAGTTACCTCAACATGGTAATTTAGGCTACAATCCTAAACACACTTATTAAAGTCTAAGTTTAATTAACAATGGGATTTATTTCTGAGTGTACATATTTAGGATTGCATTGTTAATTTGGCAAGCACAGGGTTGAATTCAATGAGCCACCTGCTAGTGAATTGGATCTTTCCTGCCTATTATTTTTTGCTGTAGATCCAAAAAACCAGTTCTGAGATTAGCCTCATGGGTAATCGCAGTAGGCAGGAGGATATGACGGACCCCCTGTTACTTTCCGCACTGTGAGGTAGATTCTTCCCACCAAAATTCTTAGTTCCCTTCAGATACTGAGCTAGCCCCCAGTAGTGTGATAAGCTTTATAAATCTGAATGTCCCACCCTGTGAGAGAATCTAATTTGGCTTTTGCCTAGACCAGGAGCTTGTCAGGAGAAAACAGGAGCCCTCTTTTTAGATTCCATGAAATGGCACTGGAGACTGTGCAACAGTGAACAATAATATTTTATTTAATAAGCAGGGATGGTATGCGGTAGTCAGGAACTGGAAAGGCTTATATAAACATTGTTGGTAAAACAGTATATATTTCAGTTGACAGACAAGATGGTGTTGAAGGAGCTTATTTTCACAAATTCTTGGTTCATATCAGAACAAAGTTAGAACCCAGTGGCACCTTTAAGACCAACAAAGTTTTATTCAAGGTGTGAGCTTTTGTATGCACGCACACTTCGTCAGACAATAAAATGGAATTACAGCTCATAGTTGTATATATAGATGGTGGCTTGTTAAATTAGCATGCAAAATAGTGAAGATGTTTTTTAACAGATAAAAAGAATGACAAGCTTGGTTTCTGATTATCATCTGTTTGGGTTCAACTTGGAGGGCGGACAACATAGGTAATAAATATGTCAGAATTGGAGACTGATGTCCCCTAAATTGTGAGGATTCCGTTATTAGATCCCATCCATCTCCTTTCTAGCATGGAGGCAAACTTTAAAGCATCTTGGCTGTGTAGAGCAGGGGTGTCAATCATGCAGCCCAGGGGCCGGATCAGGCCCCTGGAGAGCTTCTATCAGGCCCACAGTGGAACTGGCTGTCTTCTGCTTCTTCTTCCAGTTCTGCTGCTGCTGCATCATCATTAGTTTGCAGCTTACAGATACACACCTGAACAGCATACTCAAGATTGCAACTGCGTAGACATTTTGATGTAATAATTCAGAGCAAGAGATGTCAGATATCAGACACTGTTAAATAAACAAAATATTGCAAGAGTGCTAATGTTTCAAGCATGTTTTTATTTTAAGTTAAAAAAACCCTTTGTGTTTGTGTCCTTTATAAAGTTTATATCTCCACTACCTGGCATTACATTCTATGACACACATGGCCCGGCCCAACAAGGTCTCATTTATGTCAGATCCGGCCCTCATGACAAATGAGTTCGACATCTCTGGTGTAGATTATTTTTCTTGTCCCCAGAATAGAGAATTATATAAAGGGAGTCTCTCCCTTCATTCAAAAGGTGAACCTGTCTGTCAGACTCTTCAGACATCCACTCCTTTAGCTGAACTTTTACTTTACAGAACAGTAACTGCCACTGAACTCAAAACTAATTCACTCTCCCCTCAACACATGGCTGATCTTATATTTCCCTCAGTCCACTAGTCTTTCAATAAAGTATATGAGATGGAGGTCTTAAGAACAGGAACCTAGAAGCTGGAATTTGTCTGTGACTGTCAAACAGTTATTGATTTATTTTTTTAGTGAAAAGGGAACTTTAAGCTCCTGTAGAAAATCTATTGATTCTAAACTAATTTCTCAGAATCAAGTGGGATTTTTTAAAAATAATAATTCATAGAATAGTTGCAGGAGAATGTTTTGTATTGTTATGCATCCAATTTGTATTTGGGTAATTTCACTACATCACATCCTGAAGGGGAGTGGTACAGGTACTTGGTCGTTAAGTCTCACTAAAATATTTATAGTTGCAGTATACTAGCTATTAGGTTGGAACTTCTAGTTTTATCCTCAGTATCTATAGAATTTCTACTAGTATGAGGAAAGTCTGGTCCTCAGAACCTCTAAAATAAGGTAGATCTCTAAGAACATCTCACCTTGACAGTGACTCTGTCACTGCCTTTAATGAGAGCATCTAAATGTTTCTGGAAATTGCAAATAGGAACTAAATTGACTTAGTTCTTCCTACACACTAGTTTTGAAATTACAGGGTATATTATTGTGTTAGCCAGCTCCCCTGGTTTCGAGAGCCAGTTTGTGTAGTGGTTAAGTGCACGGACTCTAATCTGGGAGAACCGGGTTTGATTCCCCACTCCTCCACTTGCAGCTGCTGGATGACCTTGGGTATGCCATAGTTCTGTCAGAGCCGTTCTTGAAAGGACAGTTCTTGAAAGAGCTCTCTCAGCCCCACCTACCTCACAGAGTGTCTGTTGTGGGGAGGGGAAGGAATTTGTAAGCCGCTCTGAGACTCTGAGTGAAGGGTGAGATATAAATCCAATCTCCTCCTCCTTCTTGTTCTTCTTCCTCCCGTTTCACCACCTTTAACTTTAAATAAAACTCTGTTTTATGTACATGTCAGTCCAGGTCTGAATAGCACGGCAACAATTCTGTGACCACTAATAGCATTATATTATGGCTCTTTGTACTGGCAGGGGTTAAAGCTGAAAGGGTTACAGTAATAATTCATAACTCACATTTTAATGAATTGCCTCTGGTAAGAAGCAACAGAGGAATGTGTTTGGGAATGGTAATAAAATGTGTATGGGAACAGTAATAAAATGTTCACAAATGCCTATAATTTTTTTACGTGAACAAACAATTACCTTAAGGGTATTTTTCATACCAAAGGTTGATGATGGATTCCTCAATCTTCAGAATATACTATTTATTCTGTTCTCTTTATTTATGATATATGCTAGTGAGGTAAGACATATTCTAAGCACACAAGTTCATCTTGCCCCACTGGGATATGGTATGCAAACCAAACAATCTGTAAACCTTATCTAGTAAAATGATCATTGATTTAGGAAATGTGTGTTTTTATTAGATCCTGAAAACTCTCGTTGGCCCTCAGAAATATGTAAATTATTCTCAATAGAAGTTACTGAGAACAGCATGTTTCTGCATTGAAAGGAGGGTTTAGCACTTATACTTTTCCAAGTTGTTTTCAAGATAAAACCACTTGCTCCTGGTTTCAGATTTAACCTTTAATAAGGGTGCCTTCTTAGAATGTAATGTCCAGTTCTTAGCAAACTTTGTATAAAACTCACCCTTTGGGGTTTATCCTAAGATGCTCAAACTGTACCTGTGTGTAGCAGTCAAGCAAGCGTTCAAAAGAACTGGACTGGATTATGAGTCTTTGACATATGGAGATAGTGGGGAAGTGGGCATGTTCAGCAAAAGAGATATTAGCAGGCTGTTGATTGTATGTTGCAGTAAACTAAAAATCTGGTAAACCGGACATGGGGATGGAGTAGTACCTAACTTTCTTTTTTGTCTGTCCTGATTCTTTTCTTTTATGGTATTTTTATTTTAATTTCAATTTATGTTGAAATTAATAAATGCGTATGGACTTTGCCCACACATGGATAGCTTAAGCTAGTCCAATCTTGTTAGCTCTCAGAAGTTAAACAGGGTCAGCCCTGGTTAATACTTGGATGGGAGACCTCCAAGGAAAGCTAGGGTTGCTGTGGAGAGACAAGCTATGGCAGAGCACCTCTGAACATCTCTTGGCTTGAAAAACCTATGGGATTGCCATAAATTGGCTGTGACTAGATGGTTTAAAATATTATATAAATATAAAAGTATTTTAAATGTGATTCAAAATGTAATCTTGTACCTAAACTGCAGGATATTTTTTTCATACTGAACATGAGAAATATAAAAACTTGGCAGACCAGACATGTTTTAAGAAGTTTTCTCATAATCTCAATAGAGAAAACCTTTCAAATTCCCTGGGGAGGAAATTCCGCAACAGAGCTGGAACCACTGAATAAGGTCCTCTTTTTCCTTAATGAATTTTAATTTTATCTCAAATGGGAGCAGCATCCAGAGTAACATTTTTGGGGAAGCATCCCCTGATATTATAGTGAAGATGAAACTGTCATTAGCAGTCATCTTAATAGAAGAGTGCTACTGTATTCTGAACCAGCTGTAGTTTCCAAAGCTTCTTTAAAGGCAATCCCATGTGAAATTCATTACAATGGTCAAGCTGAGCGGTCACTACTATAGGTACAATGATGGTTTGTTTGTCTCTGCTGTGAATAGTCAAACTGATAAAAAGCAGTTCTGGCCTCACTTAAAACCTGGATTTCCAGCAGTAGTCTAGGACTGCTACCAAGCTGTGACCCTGATACTTAAGGGAAATTATCACTAAACTAAATTAAATTAATTAACTACATTAAATTAACTTGGCAACCTGTAAAGAGGGAACAGGACTGCCGCTGCGGCTGCCACAGCTTCATACACTCTCTCCCTCCCCCTTCCCCACACTTGCCCACATGTCCTTACTTTCCCCCCCCCCCCCCAACTTGGCTGTATCTCAGAGAGCCTCACCTGCCTGGCCCCTTGCTGCAGTGCTGGCCAAGCAATAGCATGGAGCAGCCGAAGTGCAGGGAGCAGGAGACAGACTCCCCACCGCAGCAACAACTGTACCGGCATCAGACCTGCTTTGATGCACCTGTCCGGCTCGGCCTACAGGAAGAGAAGTGCCGCAGCAGTCAGGGAGGGAGGGTCCCGACTCCCTACCATCCCTGGCCCCACAGAGCCTGGTTCA